TTTATTTCCCAATCATGACAAGAAGCGCTCAGCGGGTGTGACAGGTCGGCAGGGGATGCTCACTCATTCATTGCACCTGATCCTACCTCTGATGATATGTTGGTCCGTGTTTGCTCTGGTCCTATTTTAAATAATAATAATGCAGGGACGTTTGAGCTTGACATTAAAGTTATTCTTAATCTCTTAATGTTTTATTTTCTTTAGACTGTCAATTAACACATAAAATATACAATAAAGGGAAATTGTCCGCTCTTGATCTACATTGATACATTGTATTTTTCTTCCCTCATCAGGCTTGTACAACATCTTAATTAGTAAACAAACTAGAACTATGTTAGCTTTTAAAACCTTCCAGTCTAAGTACAGATTTGAGCTGAAATCCGTAAAAAAAATTTTTCTCTCTTAATTAGTAAACGATCAAAACTTTCTGTTTTGTATCTTTGTGTGACAACTTTACCATGCTCAGTATATGAAAATAAGAAAAAAAATTAATATAGGTTGCACATAAAAGTAACTAACATACCTTAAATATTTAAGAAAAGTAAAAACAAATTCTGAGTATCCAATATAATTCATTTTAGTTAAATTATTTATGTCAATTCGGTAATATCATCTTATAAGCCCTATAATGAAAGTATCTTTATATGCTAAAAGAAAAACAGCAAATGCAATTTATCATTGAGTCAAATGCTGACTGACATTTCTGATCCCAACTCTGAGGCCCCTGTTTGCTCTGCTTCTATTTTGTATTGTTTTTTGACTTTTGATCTTGAATACTGTTCGTTATCTCCATAGTTTCATACAAAAAAAAAGAGAGTGAGATCAGCGAATACAGGGAGCGGATTTTCCCGTTATTTCCCGATCATGACAAGGAGCACACGGCAGGTGTGACCGGTCAGCAGGGGATGCTCACTCCTCCATGGCACCTGATCCCACCTCTAATGTTATGGAAGTTCGTGTTTGCTCTTCTCCTGTTTTGTATTGTTTTTATGGATTTTTGATCTTGAATACAGTTCGTTATCTCCATATGTTCCATCTTTTGAAATACAAGTAGAGATCGCATGATTGACAAAAGTAATTATTTTCTTAATGCCCAGGGAAAAGGTAATGACATTGACCTGACCTTGTCTCTAATATAAGACCGTCGAACTTAATCTCATTGATACCATCACTTAGTGATATCGTCTTCTAAATTCTGTGAAAATGTCATTGATTTTTAAATACAAGAAATTTGAGAAGAATCCTACCTGAAGAGCATTTTGACCAACACCCTCACTTTTTTTTAAGATTGACGGATTGTTTATTCATTTAACAACTTATTAAAGTGAACAAGCTTGGTTTTTGTTCCTGAAAGTCCCTTGAAACTCCACCACTTGTCTGCGGAGAGCTGTAATTTTTTTTGTACTTATGCTTGGCACTCAGAACCATTAAGCAGTGAGGGATATTTTTGTGCCAGCACCTATTGCGACACGGGGTATTGGTTTTTACAGTCTCATCTGAAGGACCTGTCTTCAAGTCTCACAATGGGATTCGAACCCCGACTTAAGGATCAACTCCTTACTTTGCGACTCTAGAGTAGACATTTTTACCACTGCGCCCTGCGGCCTACGAACTTGTTTTACTAATTTTTAATTTTACACGAAGACCAAGTATGACAATTTTATAATGACTTTGACAGTTGCTAGTATTTAAATTCTAATACAAATATCGAATAATTATTTTTTTACCAATTGAAATCTACATCGAATTTCATGCAACAAATTTAAAATTCAATTTGAATTTTATGAGCTTATAGCTAAATTATAATCTTTAATATTAATAAGATTATATTAAGAATGAATTTTATAGTCTCGAATCACATATTAATTTTCGAATCATCAATTAAAAAGCAATTAATTGAACATCTATTCTAACCTTTACATACAGGTGTACGAACTTCAATATTCCTAACACAATTTAAGAAATCGGAAACACATTTAAAGGTGTAAATAGTTTTACAAAATTTTCAAGGAATGATTATTGATACTAGTAAATTAATGAAAAAGTAATGAAAAGATCATTAAATTACGACCGAAAGGCAACTGAAAGAACGCGAAAAGGTCACTGAAAGACAACGTAAAGGTCGCCGAATTGTCTGCTGAATGGTGATTGAAATCTACTAGCTGCAGATATGTAGCGTTATGTTTTTATCATATATATTTGTCTTTGACCATAACGCAACAGATCCCGTTATGCAAAAATGGTGCAATTTACGGCGCAATATTTTTTGCTCACTTTTTTGGAGAATTTCTCCACTTTCTAGCATTGGTCAATCAACAACCTTTTACTCCCTAATTCTAGACACATTCTGTAGCCAATATGTATATTTTATCTACCTCCCAACCATTTATAGCTGTCTCTACAGGTAATAAACTCGCTTGAAGTGAATTTTCAGCAATCTAACAAATAATTTTAATCAAGCGAGTTTATCACTTGTAGAGACGACTGTAGAGGCTTGGGAGAATAAAAGTTAAAGAGTATATGATTATTATGAATTATGAATGAAGATGGTGTTAAAGAAGGATCATTCTGAAAAACGAATTTTGGCGTTATAAATTTGGTACATATCCTAAATTGGTACATATGTCCAGAGGTCAATGTTCTGGTGCTCACAGAAAGGTCTTGTTGCAATATAGATCTCAAAAATGAAAGCCATAGCCCCATCTACTCCAAAGATATGGCCAAGGTTAAAGTTTTTGCGAACTAACAGACAAACAATGCAAATACTATATATATACCCCTGAATCTTCGATTAGGGGGTAGAAAAAAAAGACAAAGCTAATGGAAGCTCTTTTATTTAAAAAAGATATTTAGCTCAACGTTTAATTCAACAAAAATAATGGGCTAATAAAATATTGTGAATTATTTGGCCTCAGGGTTAGGAGTTCTGGTGTTAGGGCGGGCCTCTGTTGAAAAATTATATAGTGAAAATACATTAAATCTTTGAAAATCTTCTCTACTCCTGGGTAATAAGCAAATGAACTATATAGTAATGAGGAGCAATGACCCTTTTTCCAGAATTATGAATTTCAAGGCCCCTGGGTCAGGGGTACCATAGAGGGGGGGCTCTACTTATATACTGAAAATGAATGAATTGTTTAAATTCGGCTCCTTGGTATTATTCAAACATTTTGATAAACGAGGGTGTCTTTTCAAAAATTGTGCAATGTATGGAACTAAGAAATAGGTTCATGTGTGGTAGGGGCACTACTGATTATTTCCGAATATTACTGATTAGTTGATATGCAGTTTTTGTTCCCCTACTCTGCCTATGGGTATTAAGTAACCAAACTTAGCAATTGCTAAGTGTATAGTTATAATAAGCAATGGTATCTCTTTCAAAATTGTGAATACCATAGCATCAAGCTTAAAACATAACCAATTCAATCATTTGAAAATTGTTGCATGATGCTCAGGTGACGTATAAGGCCCATGGGCTTCTTGTTTAGTAAAGTTGTTTCGAGTAAACATATTGTTGCATTGTGTGTATAATGTACTTATATTCAGTAGTAATGATGCTTCGTAAGCATTGTAGTAAGTAAGTAGTAATTCTGTAATCGGAAGTTTGTTCAAAATAGTAACAATATGTCAGTAGCATTGTAGTAATTGTTTGTACGGTAGTAAGTTGAATACTTGTTATGTGTATTCTTCGTATAAGTAAAATGGCCATGCTAAAGTGTGAAAAGTAAGTTGAGTATTAAGTATATGAGTAAAATATGTATAGGAAAATATGCATTTAAAGCTAGGATTGTTTATAAAGAGGAAGTATGTGTACATAACTCAACAAAAAATTACAATATGTTATTGATAAACATTCCATAGATCCTAGTTAGACGTAAGAAGTAAAAGTTATATACAGTCGGAAGGACCAGACGAGGCTTTCCACACTACCCGTACAATACGCCACGTGTGAGTCCGGGACGGAAGTGGCGCCATTACGGACCACAGCGCCATTCTGAACCAAGGAACCAGTCCACAGTCATATAACATAGAAACTTTTAACTTGAAACTCTTAATATAACAAACAAAATTAAAATAAAAATTATTGATGTTAGAATGTAATAAATGTTGTAAATATATTTTACGCATCCTTTTCCTTATTTTTTACAAAGATCTGTGAAAGAGCGAAAGGGGCGAAAATAAAACGGGGGCGAAAATTTCCCTATATACAGTATTACCAAGGTAAAAATGTGGGGTTGTTTGTAAATGTTGGTAAAACTCCAAGGTCAAAGCCGAACTTGGTGGTACCCAACGAAAGGTCTTGTCACAAGGAATGCACCTGTGAAATATGAAACCCACATAGCCCTTACCACTCAAAATTTAAGGGCAAGATAATTTTCTACTAACAAACAGACGGACAGACATGGCTAAAAGAATATATCCCCGAAACTTCGTTTACAGGGTCATAAAAATGTGCGATCAACATTTTGCCTAGATATATAAAGGGGGAAATATGTTGATAAGAGCAGAAGGTGAGCGTTGTGGCCCAAGGACTTGTTTATTTTGCAGTGAAATTTTACACGAAAGGTACTGTGAGCACTGAAAGTTTCAACAAAATCTACTCAGTACGTAGTAAAGGAGGAGTTGCGGATAAGCATATGTACCCTTCAATATTACAGAAAGAATGGTAATATATCCATATTTGGCTGTGGGAATCCAAAACGTGTGGGATCAAAATGTAAAATAGAAAGTGCACAATGATACTATATAACACAGATTCTGTAAAAGTCTCATGGAATTTACGGATAAGAGATGGGTACCCCAAAGCATAAAGCTTTGAGGGATACCCTTATTACGGTATTCCCCCTGCGTTTCAAGCGGCGGTATGAAAAATGTTTGAATTTACTTTCTTTTTTAAAGTACATGTACATCGTTTTTCACCGTATACTTTTTTCTCGGTTAATGCTTTGAATGCGGAGATTGATTGATTTCCTCATCATCTGATATTAAATACTTTTTAGGAGAGAAAAGTATTGGAAACATATGGAAAGACCATTGTAAAAACACAGAGGTATTGCAAGATTATGCATCGGCAATGCAGAAACTCGCCACGGTGCACTGGGGACCTCAGCAATTGGAACGGATCCAATGGTGCAGAAAGACATTGCTAGAGTACTTCAAAAGTGGTGGATTGAAGAAATGCATTGAGAAAGATTACAAAAGACTCAAAAGGTACCGTGCTCTAAATGTTCATAATATAAAACTCAAAAGGTACCATGCTATAATGGTTCATAACAAAGGACTCATAGGTACCATGCTTTAAATGTTCATTACAGAGAACTCAGAAGATACCGTGCCATAAATGTTCATAACAAAAGACTCAAAATGTGCTCTCAATGTTCATTCGCCTTTAATGTTGCTGTGATCAACATTGATCGTTTACGATTTTTTAATTTGAAGTTTGGGAAGCTTATGCGATACCCTCGGCGTCGTAGTAGGCGCCCCAGGTTAAGGTTTTTGAAGGAGTTTTCTTTTCAAGTACTTCTATGATCTATATTGATCAGACATACATGGAAAATGCTTCTAATGCATGTGTTTCATTGTACCAGATGACGTTTCAGATGCTGCAATATCAGCAAAGGAATGACAATAATAATGGAGCAGTTTTTGGAGCAGATTAACATTTTTTTGCAGTTTTTGATGTAGGTCTTATTTCCAAGTAATTATTAGCCTTATAGAGACTATAAGACTGAACATGGATGATACATATAAGGTTCCACACTACCAGGCTTGCTTCGGATGCTGGATCTGACCTACATTTTCATGTTGAGTGAGCAGGTTAATGTTTTTGGTGCGGTCTCATTTCCAAGTAGCTATGAGTCCTGTGACGACCAAACTTGCATTGATGATACATCTAAGGATGCACACTGCCAGGCTTGCTTCGGATGCTGTAGGTATATGTCCTATGTTTGAGCAAACATGCATGAATGATCTCGTACATCTAAGGATGCAAACTAATTGACTTGCTTCAGATGCGGGATCGGACATGTTCCAGATAACTGCTCAGGTTTAAGTTATGTATACAGTTATATCACCGAGGAACTAGAAAGCCAATATCAACCAAAGTTGCATGGATGATGCATCAAGGGATGAGCAATCTCAAACTTGCTTCAGGTGCTGGATTTGAATAACATTTTCTTGATGGTCGACTAGTTTGAAGTTTTGGATATATTTATTTTTAAGTAACTGCAAGCCCTATCAGATCAAAATTGCTTTTCTGTATGTAAACTTCTAGAATGTTAGTACTGTTAGTTAATTTTGGGACTTTGCCTCACTTAAGGACAACGTTTGTTGAGAAGAGCTCTGTAATCTCCCATTACCTCAGTTAATTTTTAATGCCAGTGAAAACTTTTTCAAAATAAGATTTAGAAATACATGTTTTTACTTTATAATCACATTTTTGTACTGTAAAATCACATTTTAAAAGGGTGTTTTTTATGTGGCTAAAATACTAGGGTTTGTGGCAGTTTGCAAGTAAAGAATCGTTGAATAAGGGTTGTTACATTTTTTGTTGAATTTGAAATAGTGGGATTCGTCATACCTCAAAATCAATGAAAGTTTAACCCCCAAAAATAAGTACACGTTTCAACAATAAACCTGACTAAAACGTACTTGTTATAACACCCCTACTATTGTTATTGTGATTTAAATTCAAGACACATGGTTTAGGTTGACGTATTCACAGGTTATAGGATAGAACCGGTTTTATAAATAAAATTGGAAGTAAACAGGAAATTGTTATAGTCTTTTTTTAAACATGCCATGTGAAAAATGTTATTCCAGACCTTTCTTAAAGACTCTCATGATTTTCAACAGAAAAGGGTGGTTAAAGGGGGGGGGGGGGTTAAAATTACAATATATATTATCATAATTTACGGCGAAAATTAGAGCACACTAGCGACCGATACGCTGGTTAAAAAATATGTATAATATCATTTACACTGACAGTCTTTGTTACAGAATGTAGCCTTATATAGCAATCGTTGAATGAATAGCAGCGTTTAAGACAAACACATGCTTACATTTAACTTGGAACACGTGGTTCAGGTCAATCTATTATCATGTCAATGGAGTGCCAAAAGTATGTTTTTATGAACAAAATACAAGATTAGAAACTATGAAAGATGTCTCGGGCGTTTTTAATTTGTTGTTAATTAGAAAAAATATGTTTAATAAAATGAAGTTTGCATCAAGTTCAAGCTCAGAACAGCCGCGCTTCAAGGGTAAGGAAAACGAGCAGCATCTCTTATGCATTTAAATGGACAAAACTTGGTTACATAACTGTACTGGTGATCACGTGTTTTGGCCTGTGAATCCACATAACAATTGTATTCACCGATAGTACAACAAAGGAATACAGACACAAATTGCCTTGCAGCATGACTAAGAGAAACTTAGACTTCCACCATTTATTTAACAAATTAATTGTATGAGCATGAATTTAAAAAATGTTTTTCATTGACGAAATGGGTGAAAAATGGTCTCTGTACCTTTTTGATCGCCATAAGATTCACTTTTTTTTTTTCAAGCGTAAAATTCCTGTTGTCTTCGTAGTAGCCCATAATGCAATTCTCATTTCTGATTTATCAGTCGACGTCATATTGGTGCCTCATTTACTAATCTGACGCAAAAAATATAGGCCTGGTTCCTATGCAAAAATATTTATCTAAAAAGAAATTTTAATTCGTCACTGCAGAAAATTATATCATAGAAAATGCACACTACCAGGCTTGCTTCGGATGCTGTAGGTATATGTCCTATGTTTGAGCAAACATGCATGAATGATACATCTAAGGATGCAAACTAATTGACTTGCTTCAGATGCGGGATCGGACATGTTCCAGATAACTGCTCAGGTTTAAGTTATGTATGCAGTTATATCACCGAGGAACTAGAAAGCTTATATTAACCAAAGTTGCATGGATGATGCATCAAGGGATGGGCAATCTCAAACTTGCTTCAGGTGCTGGATTTGAATAACATTTTCTTGATGGTCGACTAGTTTGAAGTTTTGGATATATTTATTTTTAAGTATTAACTGCAAGCCCTATCAGATCAAAATTGCTTTTTTTGGATGTAAACTTCTAGAATGTTAGTACTGTTAGTTAATTTTGGGATTTTGCCTCACTTAAGGACAACGTTTGTTGAGGAGAGCTCTGTAATCTCCCATTACCTCAGTTAATTTTTAATGCCAGTGAAAACTTTTTCAAAATAACATTTAGAAATACATGTTTTTACTGTATAATCACATTTTTGTACTGTAAAATCACATTTTAAAAGGGTGTTTTTATTTGGCTAAAATACTAGGGTTTGTGGCAGTTTGCAAGTAAAGAATCGTTGAATAAGGGTTGTTACATTTTTTGGTTGGATTTGAAATAGTGGGATTCGTCATACCTCAAAATCAATGAAAGTTTAACTCCCAAAAATAAGTACACGTTTCAACAATAAACCTGACTAAAACGTACTTGTTATAACACCCCTACTATTGTTATTGTGATTTAAATTCAAGACACATGGTTTAGGTTGACGTATTCACAGGTTATAGGATAGAACCGGTTTTATAAATAAAATTGGATGCAAACAGGAAATTGTTATAGTCTTTTTTTTAAACATGCCATCTGAAAAATGTTATTCCAGACCTTTCTTAAAGACTCTCATGATTTTCAACAGAAAAGGGTGGTTAAAGGGGGGGGGTTAAAATTACAATATATATTATCATAATTTACGGCGAAAATTAGAGCACACTAGCGACCGATACGCTGGTTAAAAAATATGTATAATATCATTTACACTGACAGTCTTTGTTACAGAATGTAGCCTTATATAGCAATCGTTGAATGAATAGCAGCGTTTAAGACAAACACATGCTTACATTTAACTTCGAACACGTGGTTCAGGTCAATCTATTATCATGTCAATGGAGTGCCAAAAGTATGTTTTTATGAACAAAATACAAGATTAGAAACTATGAAAGATGTCTCGGGCGTTTTTAATTTGTTGTTAATTAGAAAAAATATGTTTAATAAAATGAAGTTTGCATCAAGTTCAAGCTCAGAACAGCAGCGCTTCAAGGGTAAGGAAAACGAGCAGCATCTCTTATGCATTTAAATGGACAAAACTTGGTTACATAACTATACTGGTGATCACGTGTTTTGGCCTGTGAATCCACATGACAATTGTATTCACCGATAGTACAACAAAGGAATACAGACACAAATTGCCTTGCAGCATGACTAAGAGAAACTTAGACTTCCGCCATTTATTTAACAAATTAATTGTATGAGCATGAATTTAAAAAATGTTTTTCATTGACGAAATGGGTGAAAAATGGTCTCTGTACCTTTTTGATCGCCATAAGATTCACTTTTTTTTTCAAGCGTAAAATTCCTGTTGTCTTCGTAGTAGCCCATAATGCAATTCTCATTTCTGATTTATCAGTCGACGTCATATTGGTGCCTCATTTACTAATCCGACGATATAGGCCTGGTTCCTATGCAAAAATATTTATCTAAAAAGAAATTTTAATTCGTCACTGCAGAAAATTATATCATAGAGAATGCACACTACCAGGCTTGCTTCGGATGCTGTAGGTATATGTCCTATGTTTGAGCAAACATGCATGAATGATACATCTAAGGATCGGGTTTTATAATTTGCAGAACACCGAAAAATAAAAGGTTCCGGACACATTAGTAGGGGGGAATAACCAAGCTGATTATTCTACAGAGATAGAATAATCAGCTTGGTTATTCCCCCCTACTAATGTGTCCGGAACCTTTTATTTTTCGGTGTTCTGCGTTCTGCATGTATATTCGTGTTTCGGGTTGTCCTTTGAGCATTTGTTAGATGCTGGAGATTTTTAACGCCATGGCAATGTCACAGCCACATGCTTAAGGTAGGATTCTTCTCTGGTTTCTGACTAGATGAAACATTCAAAGTATATTTGCTTATATGTCTTATATATTGAGGTGTAAGGAATTAAAAAGACTATATTTTCTTTCTTCATCACAATTGTACAACTTTAAATAGAAATGGCGGAATGGTGGCGTATGAAAATGTCTTCTTTTCTGCCTCTCAAAATTATAATAGAACAATGAATTGAGTTATAATAACTTTCAAAATATATCAAAATGATAAATATGATTTTTCAAACAAACTAGAACTTTGTTAGCTTTTAAACGCTTCCTATCAAATAGCAGATTTGAACCAAAAATCCATAAATACATGTAGTTTTTTTTTCTCTCTTAGGAAACGATCAAAACTTTTTGTTTTTGTATCATTTTGTACATTTATAAAACTACTTTATTATTTGTGAAAATAACAAAAAGTTAAATATAGGAAGCATATGAAAATAACTAATATATCCTAAAAAATTAAGAAAAACAGAGAAAATTCGGATTAGCCAATATCCAGTTAAGTTAAATTATTTATGTAAATTTGGTAATATCATGCTATAGACCCGATATAGTAATATGTTTTTATGCAAAAAGAACAATCTTTAAACTTTTGAAATAGAAGTAGGTATCGCATGATTGGCAACAGTATTTTTTTTATTCTTAATGTCAAGGAAAAAGATAATGACCATGACCTGATTTTGCCTCTGATATAAAACAGTCAAATTTAATTTCACTGATACTATCACTTATTGCTATTGTCTTCTTGATTCTGTGAAAATTTCATTAATTTTTAAATATTAGAAATATGAGAAGAGTCCTACGTTAAAAACTGAAATATTTGCATTACGAAACAGTTTGCAATTAACACTGCCCACTTTAGAACTCAGAAAAAAATGTACATGGCATTATTATCTTAAACAAATGTGATAATGAATATTGGCCTTTAAGTCAATTAGCTTGGAATGTTTGTGTTTTAAGGGAAACAATAATGGAAATTAGGCACCCGTTTTTAGGTAATCTGAGCTGAAGGCTGAGTTTTTCTAATCAACCATTATCTCCATATGTTTCATTGCATTAGATGCAGGATTTGACCAACATTTTTTTTACAGGTTAACATTACTGGAGCAGGTCCATTCCCAAGCAGCTTTCAGAGCTACCTGGACCAAACTTGCATGGATGATGCATATAGTGTATCAAGGGATAAATACTACCAGACTTGCTTCAGATGGTTGACCTGACCTATTTTTTTGTATTGTTTGCAAAATTGTCTTAATATAATTAATTTTAAAATAGTTCCATTTAGTCTTTTTTTGTTTAACAATACGAACTAAAATCATTAGGTGTAGTAAATTTAAAAGAAAATCTAAAAAAAATTTCTTATTCTGTTATTCCACTCGATACACCAGTTCTTTGTTAAATTGCACATTTGTAAGATGGAAAGAAAACTATCGAATGTTTTATTAATTCCTAATAGCTGTAAATATTGGACATTTGCGCAAATAATCACTCAGAAAGTATTACAGAAAGGGTCTTAATTTTTTTCAAAACTGGTATAAGTGCAAGCCCTACCTGGACTTAAATTGCTTAATAATGTGTGTAGAGATGCATATTGCTAGATTATTCGTCAGTATAGGAATTTTATTGGGGTAAGCTTTGAAATTTTGAAAAACTTTTACCTTTTCTCTCTTTGATTTCCACAGATTTTGCGAGTATTTCTGTTATTGTTTTCTAATGCGTGGTTGTAAAATATTTCTATTATGATGTTACAAACATGTGTTTTAGTTTGTAAAAAAAAATAAACGTTTTTGCAATAACGATTCATTCTGAAGCATTCGATTTTAGAACTATTTAGTTGGGAAATTACAGACTGAATGACTTCAGATAACATTTACAAACAAAGATTGATTGATTGATTGATTGTATATTGTTTAACGTCCCTCTCGAGAGTTTTCACTCATATGGAGACGTCACCGTATGCCGGTGAAGGGCTTCAAATTTTGACCTTTACTCGGCACTCAGGGCCATTGAGCAGTGAGGGATCTTTATCGTGCCAACGCCTGTCGCTGACACGGGGCCTCGGTTTTTTAAGGGCTCATCCGAAGGACCCGCAACTTTCACTTCAAAGTGCCGAGCGCTTGGCGAAGGAACAGTTGCTACCCATTTTATCGACTGGGTCAGTCGCGGCCGAGATACGAACTCACGATCTCCCGATCACGGAGCGAGCGCTCTACCGACTGAGCTACCGTGAACGGTCACAAACAAAGAAGTATGCTGTATACTCAATTTAAAGTCAACGTATTTCGTCTTGAAATCTGTACTCTTCATTTCTTACAGATATTTCAAAATTATTGCTTCCAAATTTCCAATTACAAACAAGCCTTACAGTTCCTGGATGTTAAATATAAAACAACCCTTCTATCTTTTATTGTTAATCTTTTTTTTTCAGTTTGAAACCTGTTGGAAAAAGTCATATTTTTATGTATATATTGTATATAGAACTTCAAGTACCATTAATTGGTTTGATTGATTAAATTGAACTTTCTTTGGAATATCTGTCAGCAGTGAAAATAAATTAATTTCCCTGCGCTTCGGTTGGATTTTAACTACTGTATCTTAGTATCCGCAAACCGGAACCACCACCGTACTCTCCTTTTTGCTATTTCGAGTGTGGTAACGGAAAACGAAAGTAGGCGTAAAACTCTTTTATTGCGAACACGGATATTGCAAAGTCAGGGATATAGCAAACCTGTTTTGGATCCTCAGCAATATAAATTTAACGAATTCCTTCTACGGCTACAACGAATGAAGAATATAGTGGAGTAATTTCATAGTTCCCAGTGACTTTTTTATAACTGAATTTTACAATAACTTCATATTCTTTATGGATTTTGTCGTAGGTTATGTTAGACACTGTTTCAAATATAATGCACACTTTGTTGAAATAGACATTTGAGCATGATTACTGTACTTTATTCTCATATTTATAATTTTTTTTAGAAAAATATTAAAAAATTGTATTAAAAAAAGCAAATGCCAAATGTGCGAAACGTAACGGTATATTCTTCAGTGGAGATGCTTAAAGAAAGAATGGCGTCAACAGTCGGAGTTTTAAACAATAGCATCTTCGTTTTAAGGCTCCTATAACTTTTTAAGTGTGAAAATAAAAAAATATAGATATACATTTCAATCTTTAAAACTTGCAAATTTTAAGTCAACGAAAGATCAAGTTTGATCTATCCTACCTGTACTTGTTTCTTTCATAAAATTCGTTTAAAATACTAGTATGTTGCCTGGTCCAATTAATTCTCCAAAAAGTCCCCTTCGTTGCTGGTCACATAACTACTATCTGCTGTCTGAAGACGTTTGCATGCTCAATTATTATATTGTTTATTAAATTACTGAAATTATATTTTGAAAACCGCATACAGAGCTGAGATAAAAAAAACATAATTTCATAATTTATATAGTTACCAATATCAAAGGCTGCATAATACAAATATGTTTATTGGTGTAAATGATGTCGTTAATCTAGCAATAAAAATAAAGATGGGACATTTAATTATATTGTTTATTAATTATTTTGTAATCATATGGAGAAAAGTGCTAATTTATAGCGAAGCTTGTCCATTGGAATCCTGGAAATCTAGGAATGTAATAAGACCCAGTTTCTTCTCAAAAATTTTATTCTATTTAATCTCGTCCCATTTCTGTTTTCAGCACTGATACTATTATCACCTGCACTGTGGTTACCATCTCCCAACTTTTGCGATATCCAAAACGATCAATTGTTTATTATGATATGGTACTAACATATAAATTGATGTTATAGGGATTTCAACAACCTCGTTTAAAGACATTTCCTAAATCCTATAGTCATTAAAATTACATTGTAAAAGAATATTATTATTGGGGAACCAAAAGGAACCATGATGATTGGGGAGTATTTTGGCTGACTTGTTTCCTACCTATTGTTAGAATTTTTGCATGAGTCAGAGATGTTTGGAGGTTGCTTCTATTGTGTTTCATTGTATCGGCCAAGGTTTCAGATGCTGCAATTTCAGCGAAGGAATATGTCCTATGTCGGCCATACTTCTATGGATGATAATCGAAGGATTCACATTACCAAGCTTGCTTTTGAGGTTGCATCTGTCCTATATTTTACTCGTTGAGTAAACAGGTTAAAGCTTTTGGTGCAGGTCACATTTCCATGCTATGATCCCTATGCAGACCAAACATGCATGGTTGATACGTCTAAGAATGCACACTTCCAGACAAGTAACTGCGATTCTCATATTAAAATTGAAGAAATGTTGCATCTTGGGATGTTAACTTTTATAATATTAGTTTAATGTGGGACTTCGCCTTACTTAAAGACAACATTCGTTGAGGTGAGCTCTGTAATCTCCTATGTTTTTCCTTGACATACAGGGTCATGTGAAAGCTATATAATTAATAAGCTTCAATACATTTTTAATCTATAATATTTAATTACTACATTTATAAAGGAACCTAAACACCCTTTTATACATAATGATTTGGGAAACATCGTTATGTTTCATCCTGTGGTCGAGTGCTACAGCACATTTAAGAATATCCTTTTCTTAAATCATTGGTCCTTATGTGCCACCAATAAGAATTTCAATAAACTGTACGATAATAATGATTGTTTGGCCAAAGTTTATGTTTTATAACATAAATAGTCGTTATAATTTAGTTATGCATTACTTTTTCGTCTCAACAAGTTATGCATAACTTCAACACCTGTTGAAGTATTTTACTTTTTCAGTGCATTTTACAACATTCTAAAGTTAGTAAAATTTCTTTTTTCATATGTTATTGGCTATTAATCTTAATGCAATGTACAAGGAACAAAATGAAAATTATGCTTGTATATACATTTCTGGACTTTATTTAGATTTTGTACTTCATGAAATATTATGATTTTCAATTTTCGAAGAGATGATCTTAATTATCCCGGTATATTTCTTTGCATTTATAATGAAATGAAATGAAATTGAAATAAACTGTTTAATTAATTCAATATAAGATTACTTTAAGAGGGAAAATAAAGAAAAAACTTCCTTTGTGAATGTAAACTTTTGAAATTAAAAGGTCTTATAAACATTTATTTTATTTAAAAACGTATATGCAAGAAGGATATGGAGATAGCGAACAGTGTCCAATTGTATTTGATTTAAGGTTACATGTAATGTGTCTTATACTTGTATTCATGGTAAGATAACCATGTGTTTTAGAGAGAAGACGGGTCCCGAATTTAACCCTGAGAATTTCGGCGACTTGGAGGCAGCTTGTTCCAACAAGAACCTGGAAATGTAAGTTACTAACTGTATCGGTACTTATATCTGACATTTTAAAAGATCTTCGCCTTCTCAGTAGGTTTGTTTTCTTCCATGTAATGAGGCCTAAATAATACGCCATTTACATATACATGTAGTAAAATTTGAAGAAAAAAAGAAACTATAAAAATCACAGTTCATTCACCAAGGATTATGTTCCCTGACTCAAACCAAGAGACGTGTTCCCTAATTCCAGGGCCGGTTAAAGTCATTTAGTGGTTATACCTTACCCTTTTTGTAAACTTTATTAATCATGAGAATCTGGCAAGAAAACGTTTTTGATGAGTTTGATATGCTTTTCGCGATCTAAAAAAGTAAAACATTACGTCCAATTATGGTCTCTTGCAGTTCCAATGGAGTGCCAAAAATATGTTTTTATGAACAAAATACAAGATTAGAAACTATGAAAGATGTCTCGGGCGTTTTTAATTTGTTGTTAATTAGAAAAGATATGTTTAATAAAATGAAGTTTGCATCAAGTTCAAGCTCAGAACAGCAGCGCTTCAAGGGTAAGGAAAACGAGCAGCATCTCTTACGCATTTAAATGGACAAAACTTGGTTACATAACTATACTGGTGATCACGTGTTTTGGCCTGTGAATCCACATGACAATTGTATTCACCGATAGTACAACAAAGGAATACAGAAACAAATTGCCTTGCAGCATGACTAAGAGAAACCTAGACTTCCACCATTTATTTAACAAATTAATTGTATGAGCATGAATTTAAAAAATGTTTTTCATTGACGAAATGGGTGAAAAATGGTCTTTGTGCCTTTTCGATCGCCATAAGATTCACTTTTTTTTTCAAGCGTAAAATTCCTGTTGTCTTCGTAGTAGCCCATAATGCAATTCTCATTCATCTGATTTATCAGTCGACGTCATATTGGTGCCTCATTTACTAATCTGACGCAAAAAATATAGGTCTGGTTCCTATGCAAAAATATTTATCTAAAAAGAAATTTTAATTCGTCACTGCATAAAATTATATCATAGAGAATGCATATGTAAGTTTGAATGACTTCAAGAGAGTTCGATTGAAGTACATTTCTACAGATATTATGGGGTGGTGAAAACTGAAACGCAATATAACTTTTCTGTTTACCATGTGTCCACGTCCTAGTCACTTCCTAGCCACATTTCCGTGAAAAATCTACCATATCTCCCTGTAGTCTCGTTAACTCTCGCACGAGCTACTGCCAGAGCCACTCTGAACTCATCGGGTTTTATAATTTGCAGAACACCGAAAAATAAAAGGTTCCGGACACATTAGTAGGGGTGTATAACCAAGCTGATTATTCTACAGAGATGTATATTCGTGTTTCGGGTTGTCCTTTGAGCATTTGTTAGATGCTGGAGATTTTTAACGCCATGTCAATGTCACGGCCACATGCTTAAGGTAGGATTCTTCTCTGGTTTCTGACTAGATGAAACATTCAAAGTATATTTGCTTATATGTCTTATATATTGAGGTGTAAGGAATTAAAAATACTATATTTTCTTTACTCATCACAATTGTACAACTTTAAATAGAAATGGCGGAATGGTGGCGTATGAAAATGTCTTCTTTTCTGCCTCTCAAAATTATAATAGAACAACGAATTGAGTTATAATAACTTTCAAAATATATCAAATAAATATGATTTTTCAAAACAAACTAGAACTTTGTTAGCTTTTAAACGCTGCCTATCAAATAGCAGATTTGAACCAAAAATCCATAAATAGTTTTGTTTCTCTCTTAGGAAACGATCAAAACTTTTTGTATTTGTATCATTTTGTACATTTATAAAACTACTTTATTATTTGTGAAAATAAAAAGTTAAATATAGGAAGCATATGAAAATAACTAATGTATCCTAAAAAATTAAGAAAAACAGAGAAAATTCGGATTAGCCAATATCCAGTTAAGTTAAATTATTTATGTAAATTTGGTAATAACATGCTATAGACCCGATATAGTAATATGTTTTTATGCAAAAAGAACAATCTTTAAACTTTTGAAATAGAAGTAGGTATCGCATGATTGGCAACAGTATTTTCTTATTCTTAATGTCAAGGAAAAAGATAATGACCATGACCTGATCTTGCCTCTGATATAAAACAGTCAAATTTAATTTCACTGATACTATCACTTATTGCTACTGTCTTCTTGATTCTCTGAAAATTTCATTAATTTTTAAATATTATAAATATGAGAAGAATCCTACCTTAAAAACTGAAATATTTGCATTACGAAACAGTTTGCAATTAACACTGCCCACTTTAGAACTCAGAAAAAAATGTACATGGCATTATTATCTTAAACAAATATGATAATGAATATTGGCCTTTAAGTCAATTAGCTTGGAATGTTTGTGTTTTAAGGGAAACAATAATGGAAATTAAGCACCCGTTTTTAGGTAATCTGAGCTGAAGGCTAGAGTTTTTCTAATCAACCATTACCTCCATATGTCTCATTGCATTAGATGCAGGATTTGACCAACATTTTTCTTTACAGGTTAACATTACTGGAGCTGTCCATTCCCAAGCAGCTTTCAGTGCTACCTGGACCAAACTTGCATGGATGATGCATATAGTGTATCAAGGGATAAATACTACCAAACTTGCTTCAGATGGTTGACCTGACCTATTTTTTTGTATTGTTTGCAAAATTGTCTTCGTATAATTAATTTTAAAATAGTTCCATTTAGTCTTTTTTTGTTTAACAATATGAACTAAAATCATTAGTTGTAGTAAATTTAAAAGAAGAATCTAAAAAAAATTTCTTATTCTGTTATTCCACTCGATACACCAGTTCTTTGTTAAATTGCACATTTGTAAGATGGAAAGAAAACTATCGAATGTTTTATTAATTCCTAATAGCTGTAAATATTGGACATTTGCGCAAATAATCACTCAGAAAATATTCCAGAAAGGGTCTTAATTTTTTTCAAAACTGGTATAAGTGCAAGCCCTACCTGGACTTAAATTGCTTAATAATGTGTGTAGAGATGCATATTGCTAGATTATTCGTCAGTATAGGAATTTTATTGGGGTAAGCTTTGAAATTTTGAAAAACTTTTACCTTCTCTCTCTTTGATTTCCACAGATTTTGCGAGTATTTCTGTTATTGTTTTCTAATGCGTGGTTGTAAAATATTTCTATTATGATGTTACAAACATGTTTTTTAGTTTGTAAAAAAAAATAAACGTTTTTGCAATAACGATTCATTCTGAAGCATTCGATTTTAGAACTATTTAGTTGCGAAATTACAGACTGAATGACTTCAGATAACATTTACAAAGATTGATTGATTGATTGTATATTGTTTAACGTCCCTCTCGAGAGTTTTTCACTCATATGGAGACGTCACCGTATGCCGGTGAAGGGCTTCAAATTTTGACCTTTACTCGGCACTCAGGGCCATTGAGCAGTGAGGGATCTTTATCGTGCCAACGCCTGTCGCTGACACGGGGCCTCGGTTTTTAAGGTCTCATCCGAAGGACCCGCAACTTTCACTTCAAAGTGCCGAGCGCTTGGCGAAGGAACAGTTGCTACCCATTTTATCGACTGGGTCAGTCGCGGCCGAGATACGAACTCACGATCTCCCGATCACGGAGCGAGCGCTCTACCGACTGAACTACCGTGAACCGTCACAAACAAAGAAGTATGCTGTATACTCAATTTAAAGTCAACGTTTTTCGTCTTGAAATCTGTACCCTTCATTTCTTACAGATATTTCAAAATTATTGCTTCCAAATTTCCAATTACAAACAAGCCTTACAGTTCCTGGATGTTAAATATAAAACAATCCTTCTATGTTTTATTGTTAATCTTTTTTTTTTTTTCAATTTGAAATCTGTTGGAAAAAGTCATATTTTTTGTATATATTGTATATAGAACTTCAAGTACCATTAATTGGTTTGATTGATTAAATTGAACTTTCTTTGGAATATCTGTTAGCAGTGAAAATAAATTAATTTCCCTGTGCTTCGGTTGGATTTTAACTACTGTATCTTAGTATCTGCAAACCGGAACCACCACCGTACTCTCCTTTTTGCTATTTTGAGTCTGTTAACGGAAAACGAAAGTATGCATAAAACTCTTTTATTGCGAACACGGATATTGCGAATTCAGGGATATAGCGAACCTTTTTTGGATCCTCAGCAATATAAATTTAACGAATTCCTTCTACGGCTACAACGAATGACGAATATAGTGGAGTAATTTCATAGGTCCCAGTGACTTTTTTATAACTGAATTTTACAATAACTTCATATTCTTTATGGATTTTGTCGTAGGTTATGTTAGACACTGTTTCAAATATAATGCACATTTTGTTGAAATAGACATTTGAGCATGATTACTGTACTTTATTCTCATATTTATAATTTTTTTTTAGAAAAATATTAAAAAATTGTATTAAAAAAAGCAAATGCCAAATGTGCGAAATGTAACGGTATATTCTTCAGTGGAGATGCTTAAAGAAAGAATGGCGTCAACAGTCGGAGTTTTAAACAATATCATCTTCGTTTTAAGGCTCATATAACTTTTTAAGTGTGAAAATAAAAAAATATATATACATTTCAATCTTTAAAACTTGCAAATTTTAAGTCAACGAAAGATCAAGTTTGATCTATCCTACCTGTACTTGTTTCTTTCATAAAATTCGTTTAAAATACTAGTATGTTGCCTGGTCCAATTAATTCTCCAAAAAGTTCCCTTCTTTGCTGGTCACATAACTACTATCTGCTGTCTGAAGACGTTTGCATGCTCAATTATTATATTGTTTATTAAATTACTGAAATTATATTTTGAAAACCACATACAGAGCTGAGATAAAAAAAAAACATAATTTCATAATTTATATAGTTACCAATACCAAAGGCTGCATAATACAAATATGTTTATTGGTGTAAATGATGTCGTTAATCTAGCAATAAAAATAAAGATGGGACATTTAATTATATTGTTTATTAATTATTTTGTAATCATATGGA